TTTTTGAATAAGCCATATTTGACAATTTAAATCTGAATGTCACACAGCAAATACTATTCGATGCTGCTTCTGGGAAAATCGTTAGATGTCGATGGCTATTCAAGAATAGCTTTTTGTTGTAGCTCCTTTTTATCATGAGCAAACTCAAAACCATCCCAGTTTTTTCTTGGAAAGAAACCATTCGAGCTCTAATCATGGAAGCAACTTTGAGAAATTTGTACTAATTTGCAATATAAAAGCATTACCGCTAAACATCCGTCTCCCCATATTGTCTCATCATATTTTCTCGCGAAATCAGTCCTACCATTATATAGTAATGAGCGAGTTTGTTGTATCCTGCCAATTACTACTATCCTACTCCTGCACTGCGCTGTTCCGTCAGATCACAACCTGTTTGCTTCTGTCCATTAACAATGCCTTTCACTTTGGCGTTTCGTACTGCATATAGATGGTTTGTTCTCGTTATTAATGTTACTTTTCTACATATCAGATGAGTAATTTGCATATGGTTCATCCGTGTTTTGACTGCAAAACTTCTCGAGAAGTTATACTTTGCATCTGAACCGTATTGACTGGGCATATTATTTGGCCAAAACTTTTTTGTATTCTTCTGCTACTCACGATTTAGCAAGTGCTAGCAAGAAAAATTGCCTGAGTTACAGCTTTACTTGAAGTTAAATGGCATTGCAAGAGCGTCCTTCTGTAGTTTTTCGTTGAAAAGACTATATGCTTTGTTGTTGATTCACTTTGCACTCCAGGTGCGCACCACAATGTAAAACAACGAACAATTACAACGTATTCAGATGAAGACAAAGAACAAGAACCGATCGTATTAACAAAAAGAATCTTGAACAGAATGATTTGAAGTTCCATTCTGATATTCGATTTTGCAAGGTGCAAAATTTTTACGCTATAATTTTTCGCTACTGGAACAATTATAAAGTGTTTGTGTGGATAGCCGATACATAATGAGACCCGCGAACTTCTTGCTCTTTTGGCGAATTCAGTGAGAATTGAAATTGAATCTTTCTTCTTTTTCTCAATATGCTCTTGCATAAGTTTACTCACAAAAGCCGTATTGTGTTGGCGACCTGCCCAGCAATAGGAAGTTCAAGTTTCGAGGTGTGAATGATGTCAGATCCTGTTATGCGTAAATTACCACTCGCTATATGGCTAGCATCATCCAGCTGATCTCTAGTGTACACCTGGTACGCATCGAGGATAACAATAGCGCATAGACGTTTTGCTTCATGTTGATTCAGTAAATAGCACTTAACAGTCTATTATTAGTCAGTTGAAGATAGCTAATTGTAGTTACTTCATTCTCTTTGGTCTCAGACAGCACAAAGAAACATTTGGTTTGCATATTTGGACTGATGCTGAGGTTCTTAGAGTACAGGGAAATATCTTACGGAGATATATCAAAACGGGTCTCTGCAAGAGAAATCCGCACGCTCGTGCCTCTCCACCTATGCACCTATTTGGCTGAGGACGTTGATCCCACCCTTCGTAATGCTCCCATTTGTAGTGTACCATTTCGCGTTCAGAATTTTTCACATCTCATTCAGCTCTTATGATTCTGCTCTAGAAAACGCAAATTCTTCTTCACTATTCATCACTGAGTACCTCTCAAAATTGCTTCACTTCTTGCATGTTTAATATCGTAAGTGCTAGGATCACACTGTAAACCGGACTCGAAAATGCACAGCATTTATTGCAAATATTGCTAGGATCGACTTTCTGGGTTCACCCGTTTTTCGCTGCACTTTCAAGATTGAGATACGTAAATAACCGGCCGGGAGCTCCTCAGGAATCGGAGAATCGCGCGGTCGTTTTTCCGCACGCAGGCCGGTTTATGAACCCTCTATTTCAGGACAAAGTCGAAGCGGCTGGAGGCCATAGATCTTGCGCCTCTTGCATAGTCTCCTAGACCATTATCATTCCTATGTGCATCATCTTCATATCTAAATCAGCGATGCGATCCTATAATTTGTTCGCTTGAAATGAGAATTACCAATGACAATTGCTCAATTAAACGTCGATTCACACTGTTTTCTTCTATGGTGGTTCCCCAATATTATCTTATCTGGGGTCGCCTACTCTTCAACGAACCAATTGTACCGAGATAGAAGTGTCAACGAAAGTGGGATGTTCCCTGTCTGTAGCTCGACCCCACCCCCACTAATAATGTCGTTTTCTTTTTGCCACCATGATGCAAGAGAACACGCTCTCCCGCAATTATTACATTGTACCGCTGACGTGAACACTCTTGAAGCTTGTCTGGGTCACGAAAATTACAAGCAAAAACAATCCATCCATCTTTTGTACGCCTTCGTTACTGCGCGAATTAAACACTTGTGTTTCCAGTTCTATTTATTCTATGGCGCATTTAAAGCACAGTGTGATCCAACATATTTTCGTACGCTTACATCGCAACAATGACCTTTCACTGGTAATAGGCTCTGTGTCACCTTCGATGAGACTCTCTAAACATTACTCAGAACAGTTTGTCTAGCTACTGTGTCCCTATTGTGAAAGATCTGGGTTTGCTATATATCTTTCTGATGCTGCTCAAAAAATGCTGTAGCTGGAACCCATCCACATTGCAAATCGTGGAGCCTGAAATATTTGTATTTGTCATCTCCCATCTTATGGTACCTCATCTTCTGGAACGCTACTGTACTTTTAATCTTCCCCCTATTATTAGAATGGCATTACAGCAATTTCTTTTCCAGATAACAACTGGGCCACGATGAAATCATTGGCATTACTTATTGCCGCTCTACTTACACTTGTGCACTTATCCATTGCAATCAGCCACGAAAGACTTATTTATGAAGCTCTGTTGAAGTGAGTTTCTATTCGAACTACTCCGTTTTAGGTATGCTTGAGGGTCGGTGGCTACTTGAAAGTTGGGCAATATTCTTGAGCCACATCGGCAGTTAGAGTTAATAGTGCTGAGCTTAATCTGATATCGCTAAATCAACAAGGCGCGTGGGTCCTTATGTGTGGGGTCGGTAATAGGTGCGTGGGTTGGCTAGCTCCCTTCATGAAATCGCAGAAAGAGATCTAGAACTGGTTTCTGTTTACATTCTGACTAAGGATATAAAAAAGCTTGCAAATTCAAACTCGTCATAAAGACTCCGAAAAAGCTCATATTCTTAGTGGTCTCAAGGTACCCGAGTTCCATGGCAATACAAGATAATGCGATCCCCTTCTCAGACATGCCACACTAATGAGCCATAAAATGCTTCGCTTTCAATTTGACGTAGCCAGAGAAACTTGACTACCCGGATTGCTTTCTAACGCAGCGGTTGCATCTAAGCAAGAAAACCTGAGTTTTATGCGAAAGCTGGCAAACTGGTGAAACTTGGGTCAAAAACGTTGTTGGTCTGAGTAGGTTCAAAAGAGTGAGATACCGTTCTTTGTAACCATCAATAAGTACCACCTTTTGTCACAGAAAACGTAAATTTGAGGAATATGGAACAACAACTTGCTGAACGTGAGCTTGTTCGAGTGTTGTCACGAAGAGAACGAGCAATAGCTGCACAACAGGAACCGCGAGAAAGGAGGTCTTCAGAGAAAAAATCATATCCACGTAACTGCTACTTTTCGCCAATACAATGCCTATTTACGCGTTCATGAAGTAACAGCCTAGCTTTCCGCATTCGTCCTTCTCTTGTTTGATCTCGCGATATTATTTGCAGTTGCATAATAGCGAATAATCATCTCAATTTCGCTTCTAGTTTCGGCCTCCTTTCATTTTCACTCCCGGTCGTCGTTACGTGTCTTAGTCTAATAAAAGTATTGATGATTTCGTGATTAACACATCTACTATCCACTCTAGCAAAGACGTATTTGTAAATAACGGCTATGCCAAGAAATCCTTATCGTTTTGTGCTCTTTAAAACAATGTATTGGCTATTGCATTTGAGTATTCGATTCATGTTAATAATACACTATGTCTGTTTAATAAAGTGCATGTTAACAATGCTAGATTTTGATGATTCATGAGACTTGTTAAAGAGAAATTTTCCCGTGCTGAGCCATTGCCAACAACTGAGCATTGTACCGCCTGCGAGATATGGCGAACACTAGATCAGGACATTGGTGCAAATATGGTGCTGAGCAGCACTTTTGAGTTTTTAGAACCTACTGTGGTTGACCAATGCAAGCGAAATACGAGATGAACAGTGATCAAAAGTGTTCAAGCAATAAAGATTCTGTAAAAAACCATCTCAGCGAGCTGTATAGCATAGACTAGAGATCTAACCGGAAATCACTCAGATGACTCACAATTGTAAGCTCTTGCTGCATAGTTTATCCCAATGTCGAAATTGCTCATACCCAAGGCTCGGCACGAGCTGGCACCAGTGAATTTTTTGAAACGAGGTCTCCTTTGATCTTGAAAATATAGTACGAAGTTCCCTTTGACTCGTCTTGAAGACTTAGCCTTATTTTCAGATTCTATTCGATAGCGGTAGTACACGAAGTAATACACAGTCGCAAGCATGCCGGCAGGCCGGTGGCATCCCACCGGCTGCAGGCGGCATGCCA